TTATTTTATAGGTGATGAAACTAGAGCTCAGGAGGATTGAGCAGTTAACTCAGGGTCCCCCAGGTAGTGAATTGCAGAGCCTGGATTTGCCACCAGGCCACTGGGATATTAGCAAAATACAAGTTGGAGACATCAGCTTATTCCCAGGGCCCTGAATTCCCCAGGACCCTTACCCTGCTCACTCTTGGCTACGCTCTACTCTGTTCATAGTTAACTGATATAGCTTTAGTTGATTACCACCATAGCCTTTTGTATTTTAAGAAGACCACAGGAAAATGGTTTGGATCTCAGAGTGAAGCTATATGGTAGAATCATGAAGGTGGCTGGGCTATTTTGGAGGCAGCTTTTTACTTTCTTTTGAGTCAGGGTTTAGCTTTGTAGTTCAGTCTGACCTCAAACTCACTATGTAGCCCAAGCTGACCTCAAACTTGTGATGATCTTTCTGCCTCAGCCTGCTGAGTGGTGGGATTACAGGTGTGTTCCACCACACCCGGCTGAGCCTTTTACCTATTAAGCCATTTTTTTAAACAACACTGGCAACATAAAGGAAGGGGGCATCCTGTTAGCCATTTCCTTTGCTCCTCTCAGGACTTTTCCTTCCATTGATGGAAAACTATGTTGGAAGAGCATTCTCAGTCACACTTTTGGTGAAGGGCCACCGCTGCTGCCTCTGAAGAGGTGAGCTTCCGGCACCTGGCAAACCCATTCACCTGTTCTCTACTATACTTGCTGTTGCAGAGTGAGTTACTTTCTAAATTTCTTTCAGAAATAACCCCCAGGATAGAAATTTGCATGTTTTGCAGCTCTGGGGTGTGTGTGTGTGTGTGTGTGTGTGTGTGTGTGTTTTAGAAATCTCACAGGATCTCTGTGTAGTTTGCATTTCCTGTAGGCTCTGTAGTATCATTTGAGTGGCTTAGTAAGTCTGCTTGGGTCGTTAAAAATAAAAGGCTCTGATGAATTAAGGGAGAATTTTATATTTGTCTTTGGAGGCAGTTTTTCTTAGTGTGTATAAGAGTCATCTAGGGGTCTTGTTGAACTATAGATTCTCTTTCAGCAGGGCTGGCATGGAGCTTGTGCTTTTGGCTTTTAATCCAGCTCCTGCGTGATTCTGATATTGCTGGCCCAAGGTCCATATTGAATAGCAAAGTTACAAGGCACCTTACATGTCTGTTAATAAGAAAAATCGTGTAGTTTTTCTATAAAACCTATGTACATCGTTTTGCCATGTGTGGAAATAAATTTTGTCATGGTTATATTAAACTGATGATAATGCTACATTATCTATATCTGATAACTAAATATCTGAATTAAACTTATTAAAATTCTGTTAAACATTTAATATTTGGAGAAAGTAATGATGGCATGTAAGACTTCAAGAGACATTCTAGCATTGAATAGTATATGCACACCCCAGTCTTCCGATTGTTTCAAATCTGTTATTTGAGTAGCACTCATTTTGTAGAGTGGCTAATATTATAAATCATGGATTCTCAGAGAGAGTGATGTCATCACCCCAAAGGGCAAATACTGGTTTTTTGGGGGATATTAGATTGTACATTGGTTTATGGCTTTGCAATGGTTTATGAGTCTACATAAACAGATATACAGCATATCTGCAATATTAAACTTTTTCGAAGGATGTATGGGGGTAGGGGGAAGAAAAGAGTATCCAGGCATGGCCTCGTACACCTATAATCTCAGTTATTTGGAAGGCTGAAGCAGGAGGACCACAAGTTAAAGGACAGCCTTGCAACTTAGCAAGACCTTGTCTCAAAATAAAAAATAAAAAGGGCTGCAAATGTAGCTTGGTGGAAGAGCACTTGTCTCCCATGCATGAAGCCCTGCATTCAATCCCCAGCACAGCAAAAAAAAAAAAAAGTGGAAAAAGTTTCATGGTGGGGGGCATGATAGTGAATGATTGAGACACAATGCTGTAAATGTAAAATGCACCTATTCGCTTGAGGTCCAAAGTTTTTCCCTCTGGTTTGTTCCTTCTTTGTGTCTGCATCATTACCATGAATTTTAAAAGTTCTGGCTTCTAGAGAAAGAATGATTTCTTTTTTTTCATATTTCTTTATTTCTGTTGTTCTGTTATATCCTTAAATGTTTTAAATATTTTAGAAATTGTAAAATGTACATAAAAAAAGTTACCATCTTAACTATTTTTAAGTCTGTGGTTTATTAGCATAAATCCTTTTATGTTATTGCACAACTATTATCACTTTTTGTTTGCAGAATTTTTTATCTTCCCATACTTTCTGTATCTACTAGGCAATAACTCCCCATTCATCTTCCCCCAGTCCCTGGCAACTGCCATTTTATTTTTGTCTCTATGAATTTATTACTCTAGGTTCTTTATATAAGTTGAATCATATATTTGTCCTTTTATGAGTGGTTTATTTCAATAGCGTAATATTTTCAAAGTTCATTAATATTGTAAGTATAGGCCAGCATTTCCTTTTTAAGGCTGAATAATATTCCACTGTTTGTGTACACATATGTACCTTATTTCATTTATCCATCTATTGATGAATACTTGAATTGCTTCTATGTTTGGCTATCATGAATAATGCTATAAACATGTATGTACAAGTATCTGTTTGAGACTTTGCTTTCAGGACTTCGGCTATATAACTAGAAGTCAAATTGTTGGATCATAAGATAATTCTGTGTCTAATCTTTTGAGGAACTGCAATCCTGTTTTCCACAATGGCTGTACAATGACTATGTTTTTAAAACTCAGTTTGTGCAGTGTTTGACAGAGTGCTGTGAATAAGCATATGCACCATGAATATAATACAGAAAATGATACAAAGTTCAGAGTAATCTGGTGAGTGATTCAGCATCACAAGGATTGAAGCAAAACAACCTTCCTACACACTCAGCCTTGCATGTCTACATACTATAATGCACACACTTAGAAACTAGTAAATAATTCCTAAGAGAATCATTGGCTAATGTACTTTGGTTCCATATGGGGCAAAACCTTTTGTACATTTATACCACTTGCCATAAAATTACACATTTGAAGGTTACGTAGGGATATTTAGAAGGGTCAGAACTATAGGAGGGCTAGAACTACAAAGTTCACTCAGATATGTGGTGATTAGGCCTTGTTTCAGAGGATGAATTGAGAGGGCCGGGGATTTAGCTCAGAGGCTTCGCCACCTGCTGCACAAGCCCAAGGACCTGAGTTAGATTCCCGGTACCAAAGGGGGGAGAAAAAAAATCAGATGAACTGAGAACACCATGAGGATAGGATTTGGGCAAGTTCTAATTTTTACCCTCCTCTAAATAATTCATAATGGCCAAAAAAAAAAAATGAAGCATTGATTCCTTTTCTAATCATAATAGCTGTGAGAAGTTATTATGAAGGCAATAGGGACCTTCTATGTTCTATCTCTGCTAAGGGCAAAGAAGGTGAGTTTAACTTGAGGTACAAGGCAAGAGTTGGAGGAAACTAAGAGTGATGATTAGGCCAGGCTGCTGAGTAAACCTTTGGGATCTCTAGTAGCATGATGCACGAACTCAGATCATCTAAAAGATTGCAGAGGTGAGTGCAGTAGGACCCTCCAAACCCTGCTGCTCCATGCTAATGGTTTTTAAAATCTTTTAAACTGTTAATGAAAACAATTTTGTTTGTTTGCGTATGGTGTTGAACAGGATTTAGAATTAAGATAAGAAAAGGATCCTTAAACAATTCTAATTAAAAATCTAGGACACAGTGACAAACAGCAGCCAGTGTTTGTGCGCTTTTTTTTTTTTTTGGTACCAGGGATCAAACTCGGGTCCTTGCACTTGTGCAGCAGGTGGCAAAACCACTGAGGTAAATCCCTGGCCCATCAGCCAGTGTTTGTAACAGACAGGAGGTGACTGTGTGGTGATCATCATGCTAAAGGACGTGCCCTCTCCACCCTATCCTCTGTTATGTCTGTCAATGCTCCAGATCTCATGGTACAGTAATTCATTTTTTTAAGAGCCTGCTGCTTAAAATCCATATCTTTAGGAAAAGTTTCCACTTATGCCTTAGTGAGAATTGATTTATTAAAAATAAATTTTATTTTATTTTATCCCATTCCTCTGTGGGAATTGATTTTTAAATCCCTTCTAAGGGTTTTTTTTTTTGATGAAAAGGGCTCAGAGACTGCCTCAACCAGACTACAGATAAAGGTGCAATGTGGAAGAAAAAGCAGAACAGAGAAGCAGATGTACAGGTTAAAATCAATCTCATGCCTTCCTTTTTTCTCTTTGTGGTGCTCCCACTCTATCAGTCTCCGGCCTTGGAGTTACCTCTGACTTTCCTTCTTTCTGTTTTCAGTCTGTGGCCCATCCTATAGATCAGCGATGGTGATTTTTAGAGCTTTAAGTGATACAATCAGCCCTCTGTGGCATGTATGCTATAAGTTCGCCACCACTGTTATAAACTATATGTTGGAAATATTTCTCTAAATGATCTCCCCCTTTCTATTCTTATGGGCACAACTATAGTTCAGTTGTTCATGACTTGCTACCTCAGCTGTCCCAGAGGTATGTCCTTCACCTACGTATACACTGGGGCCTCTTGTCATGTTTTGACCATGTTCAGAAACTCTGAATATCTCTCCCCAGTTTATCACATCTACTTTCCAGTGTTCTCAGGTGATATCAAGGCCCAGTAAGGTAGGGTTCCATTCTTGATTCTATGATTCCCTTCTCCTATGTTCAGTTCAAGTTGGATTGGTGGCACAAAGATGCCTTAATACTTAACAATCACATATTAAACAAGTTTTGAAAAATGGATAGTAATTATAACTATCATCATTGGGTGTATACTATGTATATGCCAGGATTTGTGCTAGGCTTGTCATGTTCACTACCTCTTCTAAACTAACCTATACTGCAGTTAAAATACCATTTTTTAGAATGAGAATAAAGTCTTAGAGAAATTAAAGTTAGGTGATTATAAAGAAAGAGCTGGAATGTGAACCCAAGGTTGCTTGACTTCAAAACCCTATGTTTACCTGGGAGTCGTGGTGCACACCTATAATCCCACCTACTCAGGAGGCTGAAGCTGGAAGGTGAAAGTTGAAGGCCAACCTGGGCAATGGAGCAAGACTTTGTCTCAATAGGGGTGTAGCTCAGAGCACTTGCGTAGCACATGCCATCCCAACACTGCAAAACAAAAACAGAGAACACAGAAGCCTTGTTTTTAAGAAAGGGATGAAGAATGTTATAGTCAGGAATAATAGCTTTGATAAAAGTTTGTGCAAGAATTAATGAGCTGTTTTAGTAGGGCATGGTGGGACATGCCTGTAGTCCCAGCACTTTGAGAAGCTGAAGTCAGAGGATTGCAAGCTTGAGCCCACCATGAGCAACTTAGCAAGACTCAGTCTCAAAATTAAAAATGAAAAAAGGCTGGGATGTAGCTCAGTGCTAAGACCATGGGTTCAGTCCCCAGTCCCACAAAAATAAATACACTAAAAAAGAATTAATATGCTGTTTTCAAAGATTATTCATAAGAACTTCCTTTTGAGGAATAATAGATGGGGAGTACATGGAGTTGTGGGTTAGTTTGCTAGGGCTGCCATAACACAACACCCTCAACTGGGTGGTTTTAAACAATAATTTATTTTTTTACAGCTTGAGAGACTGGCAGCCCAAAATCAAGGAGCTAGCAGGTTTAATTTCTCATGAGGCCTTGCTCCTTGACTTGCACACAGCCACCTTCCCACTGTGTCCTCACATGGTCTTTTCTTTTTTTATGGTACTTGGGATTGAACCCAGGGCCTCACACATGTTAGGCAAATGTTGTACCTCTGAGCTACATCCCCAACCCTTACGTGGCCTTTTCTCTCTATATGCATCCCTGGTGTCTCTTCCTCTTGGTTTGACACCAAACAGACTGGATTAGGGCTCACTCTAAGCCTCATTTGAACTTAATTTCTTCTTTAAAGGTCCTGTTTCCAACTATAGTCACATTCTGAGGAATTGGGGGTTATGACTTCAACATATGATTTTTTTTGGGGGGGGGCGTGTACGTAGTCTATAACTAATCGGTTGACATGGCTGGATTTTAGATGATGTAAAAGCCAGACGTAAGGGTTTAGTTTTTTTTTTTTCTTTTGGTACCAGGGATTGAACTTGGGACCTTCCCCTTTCGAGACAGGCGGCGAAACCACTGAGCTACATCCCCAGCCCCAGGGTTTAGTTTTGATATGTGAGGTCATAGCGTCCAGGTGGTGGAGCAGGAGAAATGTTTTCCCCAATTGTAGATGGTCCTCAATGCAGTAATAATGAGAATGAATGTTAAAAAGTGGATGAATCCACTGTGGAGAAGGAACTGTTAGGATTTTTCTAGAGTAGAATGAAGGAACAGAGAGAGTCAAATCTTGTCCTTTGGAGGCTCCTGGAAAAGTGAAGGTAAGTTTTTTGATGGGGTTTCAGGGGCAAAGAGGGAATATGTAAAGTTTGGTTTTAGATGTGGGAATTACACTTTGGGCAACATGGAATTAGAATTTAGAGAAAAGGCCAGAGGAAGAGATGGGAATCTGGAGTCTCCAGCCAGATTAAAGTTGAGCCTGGGAGTAGGTAACACTGATCAGAATTCATAAAGGGTGGGGGCCAAGAATTCTCAGGTCTCAAACTGCTTTATTGTCACTTAGGTTTGGAAGGTGGTAGAGAGGCTTTCTAGGATTTATCCAAGATAGCAGCTCTGGCTTTCTTCGTTTGTTTCTCTTTAGAGCTTATCATCACTACTTGGCATTGTATTTGTTTTTTGCTTTTTTGTACCGGGGATCGAACTCGGGACCTTGTTCTTGTGATGCAGGCGGCGGCACCACTGAGCTAAATCCCCGGCCCGGTGTTGTATTTGATAGTTACTTGATTCTTTTCTGTCTTTGCCATAGAATGTAGGCTCCAGAAGGGCACAGACTGCCTTTTTGTCCAGCACTATACTGCTGGAAGAGTGTCCAGAGCATTGTAGGTGCCTGTGAACACTTATTGAATGAATCTGTGAATAGGTGAATTTTTTGTGATTAATAGAATCTATAAATTGATACTGTAATTAGATTGTGGGTTTTTAAAAATCTTTCCTTGAAATAGAATTAACAAATGCCATTTTTTGGTCAGTACTGAGGATGGAACCTAGGGGAATTCTATCACTGAGTTACATCCGTAGCCCTTTTTACTTTTTATTCTGAAATGAGGGTCTTGCTAAATTGCCCAGGCTGGCCTTGAACATGTGACTCACCTCCACAGACTCTCACGTAGTTGGGATTATAGTTGTATACCAGTGTTTTTGGCAAAAAATGTATTTTGATAAATGAACACATGGGCACATGATTTGAGAATCTTGAAATGGCCACCTAAAAACTTAGTTTTGTTTCTATTTGTGTTTTCTCTTCTGGCTCCCCCAGATCAAGATCACCTAGTTTTTCCTCTGCTATAGCATTCTTTATGAGAAAGCAGATATGACTAATTTTTTTTTTTTTTTTGCCATACTGGGCATTGAACTCAGGACCTTGTGCTTGTGAGGCAGGCAGTGGCACCACTGATCTAAATCCCCGGCCCTGATATGACTCTTTTTAAAAACTGAAGCATTTTGCTAATCTGCATGGGTGCCAGTCAGCCATCCAAACACGGGAAGCTTGGTCATCACCTCGCTCCGTACTTCTCCCCAGGAGGGCTGCTGGTTACGGGATTGTGTGATGAGGTTGTCAGGAAACAACCTTCAGTAGGACAGGCATTTAAACCAACTCCACCTTCTAAGGAGTCATAATGAAAGGGAAATCTGTATTTACCTTAAACTTGTATTTCATATAGGGAAAGGCTCTTATTGTGCCTAACTTCTCTCTTTCAGTTGTTTGAGTGGTATAAATACCACTAAGATTATTGGGTAAGGTAACTTAAAACAGGTTCTCCAAAAGGTGGGAATTTCTCCTTAAAGCCCTATCAGAACCACTGGGGAAGTTTTTATTAAGTGCCACAGATCATTTTGAATCATAGTAGCCATAGGGCACCTTTCTCATGGGCATACTCTGGTTGGGTATTCTGGGAAAGTCACTGAACAAGGGTTCTGAGAGTTTTGAATACAAAAAGCTAAAAGATGACTTTGTTTCTGTCCTCTGACTTTTTTTTTTTTTTGGAGACAGAGTCTCATTATGTAGTTAAGGCTGGCCTTGTACTCACTATGTAGCTCAGGCTGGCCTCGAACTCATGGCAATCCTCCTTCCTCAGCCTCCTGAGTGCTAGGATTACAGGTGTGTGCCACCACACTTGGCCTGTCCTCTGCTCTTTACTATAGGATTGTTTTCTGTTTTTCCAGACTCTATTAGAATTTTATGAAAGTTTAACACTGCATAGGATGATATAGGATGACAAAAAGAGGGCACGCTGTAAGCTAACAGGACATGCTGGTAAAATCCAGAATAAGATTGAGATGAAATTTTGAACATGCTAATTGGAAATAGAGGAAAATGGAAAGATGTTAACAGGAGAACCTGTTTACTGAACCTCATAGCCAATTTAGTGCATCTTTAGAAATTTTTCTGACATAAATTCAACAGTTATGATATTTTCAAATATATTGGATTCCTTCATAACTAGTTAGATCACACAAATGTGAAAGTGCTCTGGGGGAAAAATGTTCTGGAGACACAATGTATGACTAACAGGTTTTTACCCAGCTTATAATCTGTATCTGCAGCTTCTCCCAGCTGTAGACACACAAATAGAGGGAAGAGTTACTCAGTGGTTGCAATAATTTATGGGAGTGAGAACGTGTTGTGGTCAGGATTTGCAAGGGAAATAGATTTAATACAGGACACATAATTTATAGGATCATTTTATAATAGTCACCCAAAAAGTCAAATGCAGAGGAGTGCAAGAGATCTAACTGCACACTAGAGACCCAAAGAATACAGCCAAGGGGCTAGATCCCACAGCAGTGTCCTGCACACACACCAGCTGAAGGCCTAAAGTCCAAGGCAATGTCCTCCTCAAGTCCAACCACCGATTTAGAGCCCACAGCAATGTCTCATGCTTGTCCGTATTGAGGATCTGCACCAAGAAGGTCTAAAGGCCAGTGGTGGAAGCCAGAAAACCTGTGCTGGTGGGGTGGAGGATTTGTGATACCAGGATGAGGGATCTACACTGGAGCCAGGAAGTGATGCTCACAGTGAAGATCAGAGGTCCCCTGAGGAGAACAGCAGGCATTCCCAGTGACAGAGAGGCCCCGAGTTCCTCCTCTGAGGAGAATGGCCAAGTTTGCATCAGGAAAACCAACGGCAATAAGCTTCTCTTAGAAAATCAATAGCCAAAGGCTGGGGATTTAGCTCAGTGATTTCGCCGCCTGGTGCGCAAGCCCAAAGACCCGAGTTCGATCCCCAGTACCAAAAAAAAAGAAAATCAACAGCCAACTATCTTTCTGTCTGGTTCTCTATTTATGCTGTTGGCAACAATCCTCAGGTGGGTCTTCCATGCCCAAACCATAGTGATTCAGTTCAGCTGGGCCTTCCAAGTTGACCATTAGTTAATCCACCACAGAAGGTAATTAATGTTTATTATGTTTCTAGAATGTGTCAAGTACATTACATACATTGTACATTATTTTATGTAATCTTAGAAGTTTGATTTAGATACTAATGTGTCTCAATTTATAGGTGAGTAAACTGAGAGATTAAGGGACTGGCCTAAATTCACATAGCTGATAATTGCTAGAACTGGGTTTGCGTATTTCAAAGCCATGATATTAAAGTACTTCTAAAGACTTGCTTGAAGCAAGGTTGGTAAATATTTTCTGTAGTGGACCAAATAGTAAATACTTCAGGTTTAGTGGGACAGGAGACAGGATGGAGAATATTATGTAGGCACTTATGTAATCATTTGAAAAGGTAAAAACCACTCTTAGGTGACAGGTTTTGCAATAAGCTGGATTTGTTCTGCAGACTATTGTTGCCATCCTGGCCTAAAGTATCCTGAATATATAAGCAGAAGCAGCTTTGGGAGAGGGGAGGTGATTGTTTAAATGAAGAAGTGTCATTTAGTTAGTTTTAAATTTGCATAGTCTTTTAATAATGAGGGTTCAGATTTCTTCATTAATTAGTCTATTATATTATCCTTTCAGCTGTACAACTTTTCCCTTTCATGGTTATAAATATTAGTTTTATTTGCTA